TGCTTCTGTCCTGTGGCATTGGTACTTTCCTTCACAGCCTTTTATATTTAAATTAATTTGATTTTGATTCACATGTTTTTTATTAAAGAATGGCAAGAGCCAGGCATGGTGGCACATACCTATAATCCCAGTAGTTGGGGAGGAAGGCTGAGACAGGAGGATCATGAATTCAAAGCCAGTCTCAGCAACTTACCAATGACCTGTTTTAAAATAAAATATTAAAAAAAGGGCTGGAAATGTGACTCAGTGGTTAACACTACTGTGTCCAATCCAGGATACAAAACAAACAAACAAAAAAACCCAGCAAGATTCTTAATTGGTTGCAAAACTGTAACTGCATCAAGTATGCATTCCAAAAGTAGTATTTTACTATAGAAGCATAATCTCTTGATGCAGTTTCATCTTTTTCTGTGTTGCAAAATAAGTGAATAAAATCTCTTATGCCATCTGGCCTTCCTGATGGTAATTAACACTGTTATTTCTGAGCTTCCAGACTAATATCTGTAGGCTTAATTATCAGCTATCACTAAGATCAATTGCATTCTGACTTTTTTTGGTGACAGAATTTTATTTCAAAATTCACATCCTTATTTCCTCATTTCCTTTGAAAGGTATGATTTATGTCATTTAAAGAAAGTAATTCCACTTGGGCTGCTGCTATTTAGTTTGGGAGGGAAGTTCACACCTTGAAAGTAGCTGACTTTTCACATCCTAATAGAAGGATGTAAGGTTAGCACTTTTTATTTGGTAACCCAGCATGCTAATAAGGAACTGTGAATAAAAATATAAAAAAGGAAATATCTGTACCAAATAACAAGACTAAAATAATTTCTTTTGTGGATTCTAAATATAGTTGAGGTGTCATATATGATACGCCCTTGACTGGTAGTTTAGGTCAGTTATTTTAAAAGCTGGCAAAGTGAGGTATCTTAAAGTTTTAAATTTTAACTTAAAACATATAGCTGTATATTTGTTCACCAGTCCTTTGCTTAGTATCTCAGGAAGCTATCCACTCTTTTAAAAAAAGTAGTTTTTATATCCATCATAGAACTGAATGCATTGGTGGATTTTGCATACATAGAAAGTCAATTTAAAATATTTTAGTTGAGAGACTTCAAGATAATGAGATATTCTAGCTTTAACCTAGAAAAAAGTATTTTAAGAATTCATGGGGAGAATTTAAAATACATAAATCTGGAATAGTAAATAGTAGACTTGACTCTAGGCAGAGGCTGACAATGAATTGAAACTCAGTAAGCTCAATATTGTAAACAGCATAAACATTTTATGTAGTAATTACAATAACTAATTTTGCATTGTTCATTTTATTTGTTTTATGAGTTGTGGAGTTACCATGACCAGCACGGCCATTAATTCTGAAACTGGTAAGGGATTGAAAAAGACAAACTTCTGTATAGAGAGAAAGCTGGGACCAGGTAGGACACCGTCTCTGATGGAAGAACATGACCCAGAGCTAAATTAGCACATTTATTATATAGGTTTTATCATCAAAAAGTTGGGAAAGTTTCTGCAAAGCGGGCAGACTGAAGGATGCAGCACTGGTGAGACATTAGGGTTATCTTGTTAAGCTCAGAATTCTATTTCCCCAGGAGCTGGTGCCTGAGCTCAAGATCCAGACTGATATAACTCCATACCTTTGAACAGGGTTTCGGCAGGCCAGGTGTCACTATAGTAACCCGGTAATCTGGAACTGCACCTTTGCATGGGAAGTTTCCAGCACAAACGCAGCCCTGAGGCAGTCAAAGCTCACAATCCAAGTCATCACTCTCCACATGTAATAGTCTCTCATTTTCATTATGCTTCAAACTTATACCTGAAATAGCTCTTGGCCATTTTGTTCTTGCTTGGCCCAAGCTGCCATTCCTCATTCCCTCTACTGCTCTCTCTGTTCAGACTTCATTTCTTGCATTAGAGCTGGTTTAGCTTCTAGTTTTACTCCTTTCACTATATTCCCTAGACTGCTACTGCAATGATTTTTTTGTAGAATACAGATAGACATATTATGTACCACTGTCTTATTTATCTCTCTTCAATTTTTTCTTTTACCTTCATGAATCCGCATATAAATCTACTAGAGATTGGAATTGATAGTTGTTGAATAACCATTAATTGAATTATACTTATTTTTTATTATTTGGAGATTTTACAAGTGAACTAACCAATATTCTTTGGAGCCATGTCTTATTAAGACAAAGTGAAGGAAGGGAGAGGGAAAGAGGAGAATTGAGTCTTTTGATTGATAGGCTATCAGAAGTTTTTCTGAAGTACATTTATTTTTTGTACATCTGTTTATTTCTTCTGGTTAGGTGAGTTGTTCCTAAAACTATTAAATATCATTCAATGATAGTACATCTATGAAAGTAGAGAAGATAATATCAACCAAAAAGGGTTGTTATGAAAATAGACTGATGTATTTAACATACCAACCAACATGGTAAGCCCTTAATGAGTGATAGCTACTATATCTAGAGACACTGTGGATGTGATAATTTAAGAGTACTGACTTCATGGTCTTTAGACTGGGGTTTAAATTCTGGCTTCCCATTTGTTAGCCCTCTGAACTTGGGCACTGCATCTTAATTTGCCCATCTATAAAATAAGGTATAAATAAATATCTCACAGGAATATTATAATGTATTAGTATAGTAGTAGATGTAATAAGCACTCAAAAAATGATTTGTTGTAGTATGTAGTTATCATTATAATAAACATTTATAATAAAAAGTACCCATTATGTTGTAGATTCTGCCCAAGATCCTAGATGATACTGTCTGTGATTCTGAGATTTCAGATTTATATCCCACATCTATTATATGACTACTTCATTTCATTTAGATAGTATGTTTTACTTTTATAGGCTGAATTATATAGACAAATCCTAATGTAGAAATATTATCTCAGACTTCACTGAGCTTAAATATAGCCAAGAATCAAGAAACAAGCAAAAGCAAATAAAACAAATAGCACAGATATCAACAAAGTCACACACATACACACACACACACACACAAATTTGTACCTATATACTTATGGAAGTATCTCTCAACTTCTTGTTTAGTGCCCACATTTCTGTTGCTTGTTAGCCAAGTGACTTTTGGTGAGTCTTAGACAATTTCAATTTCCTCATCTGTGAAATAAGAGTTAGCTACTGTTTTTTTCTTTTGGTACTGGGATTGAACCCAGAGGCACTTTATTGTTAATGGCAAGATTGCAATAAGTCACCAAGTTGATCTTAAAGCAGGAGATGGAACTTTTATTCACCAGTTGGTGGTCTGGATCCACCAACGGGCAGGCCAAGGGGCAGGCTACAAGTCTACACCCTTTGACCTCCTCCCAGGGTTTGAGTACACCTTTATAGTCCAAAACTATATTAATCATAAGTATCTGTTGCTATGATTCAAAACCATAAACAAACGTCATGAGATCTAAAATCATAAGTGGAAGGGGGAGTGGGTCAAAATAACCCTAATTGAGTACAAGATAAAGAATGGTTACTAATGTCTAGACATTCATTCTTTGACAAGGTACATTGTCCAAGAAAAATAGGAACCAAAAAGAGGACAATTTTACATTGTATAAGAATTGCCATTTTGTGTTGTCAAACATGCTATGCTAAGCAACTGTTGATTGGTACAGGGTGTTCCCATGAGAGAAGCATTTCTTACATGACATGGAGTGTCAAGGCAAAAAGGAGTCTGTTTGGTCATTGCCCGTATAGCCTGGCATATAACATTTTCACTGAGTTACAATTCCAGCCCTTTTTATTTCTATTTTGAGACAAGGTCTCACTAAGTTGCTGAGGCTGTCCTTGAACTTATGATCTTTCCGCCTCAGCTTCCCAAGTCACTGGTATTACAGGCATGTGCCATCATGCCTGGCAAGAGTAACTGATTTCTAAAAGTCTCTTAAGTCTAGAAACTTTTAAATTCTGTGTGTATAGTATCTTAAATTTATTCTCTCTGGGCTCTTTTCTATATTATTCTCTTTAAAAAAATAAAAGTGAGGTGGGTTTACTTTAAAGTGCAGAACCTATGCACAAGATTCACTGTTATGTCAAACTCTGTGATAAATAAGGAATTTCTAATGCAGCATGACAAACCAAAGAGAACAGTTACAATTTCTATGGAATTATTTAAACAAATTATAAGAATAAATAAGAGTGATTGGTTTTTAGAAATGTGAATACCAAAAAAGCTTCACAGCAAAATTATGATAGATTATGCTACAGTTACAAATTAGCCCCAAGTTTCAGTGTCTGAAAACTGTAGAGGTTTACTATGGTATCATCTAATATTGGTCAGCAGTGACTATACTCCACAGTCACTGAGGTATCCAAACTGGATCCTTTAGCCTCAACTCTTAGCCAGTGTTGTCACAGTAGAAGAAAAGTGAAGAGCTGATATTTTGTCCACCAGTATTAAATGCATTGGTTCTTCCTGGCCCATAAATGATAGATATTGTTTTACTTGTGTCCTGTTAGAATTACAGATGACTCTGAAGAGTGTGGGGAACATGGGAAGAGCACATGGATATTTGGTGAGCATAAGTGCTTCTGCTCCATGGTGTATGAGCTGATTCTAAAAAAGTAAATAGAAGTTAACATGGTAAATGAAGTAATAGGACATGAAAAAAATTCTTCCTCATTATGAAAGTGAAAAGTTTCCTTTAGAATAAAAATGTGGATATCAAGGAAGAAGTTATATTCTTTATCTCAGTTAAACCTCACAATAATTCTCTGAGGTAAGTACCGTTATCACCCACCTTTTCAAGCTTTATCAGTTAGTAGGTAGTTAGGTTATGTGGCTCCTTTGTACTTCAGATAATTTGGTTCTAGCAAAGTAAGTCAGTTGTACATACATCAGTTTTATCTATCTGTTATCAAATTTAAATATTGTAAATGTTATTTTATTTCTGCAATAAAATAACTTACCCATAAGTAATAGAAATTAAGCTACAACTTTAACTTGTTTTGTTTTTAGGGTTTGGACAGAGGAGCCAAAGGCCAAATTTCCACTTTGGGCAGTTTTGCTTCAAGTGTTAGCCAGAAGAAAGAAGCCACTGAAAATAAAAGTTCACCTACACATCTTGTTTCCCCTAACATCAAGAATGGTAATGGTCAGTATGTCTTGGCCAAAAGTATATTACAGTATTAAACTATTTAAAATGTAGATTTTAATCTATTCAGTATTGTTCTGGTAGGTCTAATTAATACAATAAAAAAAGTAAAATATGTAAATATTTGTAAGAAGAAGCAAAATTATTATTATTAGGTGATAGTTACCTAAAGAATGAAATAGAAAACTCATGAATAATTTTTAAAAGTTTGATTAGAAATCCACATACAATATAAATGCAATAAATATGTAAATATAAAATACATTTTATGTATCTTTATTATGCAATGTGTAAATATAAATATTTAGTAGATTTCTTATGTTTGAGCAGTAACCAACTAAAAGACTTGATAGAAAATACATAAGATGCTTAGAAATGAACCTAAAAGGAAGTATGCAAAACTTACATAGAGAAAATATAAAACTTTTTCAAAAGATTAAAAGATGGTTTGAACGGAAAGACTTATAAATAATAATAAAGATTTTAGGTTCACCCATTTATTCCCTATATTTAGTAAAATTTTCAACAGTTCTTTGGGAAAAATTTAACAAAATGATTCAATATTTGATTTTTAAGAATAAATGTCTGAGAGGATATAAGACACAATAATTAGGGTGTACATTATTTTGTAGTGCCATATATTATAAAGCTGTAGTACTGATAGTTTTGGCACCAGGAAAGCCAAATAGATGGATCAGCAAAAAGTATTGTATGTAAGTAGCATTAAATTATTCACAAAAGTAGAATTAGGCCAATGGACTAACTTCTCAAAAATAATGAAGTTAGATTTTTTAAAACTATAAAAGTACTAGAAGAGTATGCAGGAGAATTTGTAATGTGCATGTACTCACTGACATAGTAAATCCACTTTCAGGAATTTAGTCTAAGGAAATAATGTAGCATATATGCAAAAATACAAGGAAAGAATGCACATTATTTATAATAGTATTTGAAGCAATTAAAGTGAATTGAGAAATTATGTTTGTCTATATTATAAAAATTGTACTTCTATTAATAAGAATGTGATATGTATATAAAGTGACTAGGACAAATGCTCACAATACATTGTATGGTACTTTTAAGTTGTAGAAAAAAAACAAATTATATAGTTATATGTAGAATATGATTCCATTTTTTTTTAAATTGAAGGAAATCTTTTATATTCTGAGAATGAAAGGGTGCCCACTAATCTGTTAATGATTTTCTTGGGGAGGTAGGATTGGGTGTGTATTATTAATGTTTGTTTTTATAACTCTGTATTGTTTTATTATATGAAACATACATTATTTGAACACTTCTAAGTGCCTCTTAACCCTATAAAAAGAACCTGTAAAGGTTTGAATGCTCCTCACATTCTAGACAAATACCTAGAAATGTTTAAGAATATATTTTCTGGTAAATTATCTTATGTCAATAAGCTACATGTGGCATAAATTATTCTTGTGCAGATTTTCTGTTTGACACTGCAAGCTAAAGCAGATCAATTCTGTAGTCTTTTAGGTTAGTATCTATGTCACCTCATTAATGAAACTGCCTTTGATAACTTCTTTTTTCCTTGTTACTTCTCTTTCCACCCCCTCCATCAATTAGGTTTTACTGGAGGTCCCAGTGCCCCTATGTCACAGTTCCCCAACCCACAACTCAGTAAAACAAACCTATAATTGTGGTACCATTATAGAAACAGAGAAATAAAGAAAATGAGCATATTTGATGTGGGAGCATAGTTTAGAGAAATGATTTCTGTTTTAGACATTAACTAGATAATAATTAATGACTTTTTTGCATGATAATTTATAGAAAACTTTCAAGTTTGTTCTTAAAGCCTTATAACAATCACATAAAATTGAACAGACATTAGAATCCTTATTGTGTTTGTTTTCTATTGTTGCATAACAAATTTTCATAACCTAGTGTCTTAAGAACAATCCTCATTCATTAGCTCACAGCTCTTTAGGTCAGAAGTCCAGATGAATGTGACTGAGTGTTTTTACTCAGGGTTTTACGGGGATAAAATCGAGGTGTTGTTTGGTCTGGACTATGAGCTAGAATCCTTTTCCAAGCTACCTCAGGTTATTGGCAGAATTCATTCTTTGTGATTGTAAGACTGACATCCTGTTGTCTGGTCTGACTGGCATTTAGGACAAGCTCTTCGAGGCCATACACAGTTTCTTGCCACAGGCCTTATCACAGGGTCTTACAAAAAAATCAAAGCTTACTCATTTAAGGCTGGTAACAAAATCCCCTTTTATGGTTTTAGTCTCTGACTTTGTCTTCTGCAACCAATGGGAGAAAACTGTTTGCTCCTAAAGAACTTGTGTGATTAGGTTTTGCCTGGATAGTATCTTTTTTTAAGGTTGCATTTATAGGTTCTAAGGTTTAGGACTGCAACATGTCTTTTTTTGTAGAGGTAGGGGAAAAGTTCAACTTGCAACAGAGTTTTAGGATCCTAAAAAAAAATTGAAATGTATATTTGCTAAGAATAATAGCTAGTCTAAGAAATGAATCATAACCTTGGTTTTGGCTTTTTGTTCAGATTCCTAAGCCTTTGATTCTACCTTTGATTTATAACTACTTCATTCTGTCTATATGAATATCTTGATCTGTGAGCTTAGCTTATATACTTAGAAGTTTTTGAGTAAACATTGACTCTGAATATGGTCTACCTACTTGAATTGCTACTACTTTTCTTTTTCTCTCTCATCTGGGCCAATCTTGTGAAATTTGGATTTAGCCTCCACCTGAACTTAGAGTATTTACATATACCACTGTAGATGAATAGACCTTTCAGGAGACATCTTTTGCCTTTTTACAACTTCTGGAGCTAACTTCTCCCACCTTTTCCATCTGGATACCACCTGAATTAAAGTGTGTTCATATGTTCATAAAAATGTTTTAAATAAGTCTGAAAAGAGGCATAATAACTTTTTAAAGGAAAATATAAAAGAGTAAGAGAGAATGTAGTGCCACGTAAAGAATTCTTTTATTGATGGGAATTTAAGACTAAATCATCCACATGTAACCAAGTCTGTAATTTCTTGATCTTTTGAGAAGTCTTTCTTACTTGCCAATGAGATTATTTCCTCAAAAATGCATCATTCCTGGCAGTTATTATAATTTTCCTCCTCCTCCTTTGGTACCAGGACCTATGCTGGGTATTCTCTAACAGCTTGTCTCTCCTTCTGATCTTCAAGTGTTATTAGAGAAGCTGCAAAAGCCCAGCGTGGGTTTACCTAACAGCTGAGGGATGCCTTTCCTCCCTGTAGGATCACATGGCTAGGTATGCCTGTCAAGTTGGCTGTCCTTTTAAATATCTGAGAAGTGTAGGAGTTTTACCTACTATAACAGCTGCTAGAGATGATACATCTTCAGAGAAACAATCTAGAAGATAAGTAATGCAGGAGTTGGGGAGTGTAGTGGTGGAGGGTAACACTACATTTCCCCTTACTTTTTTGTATTTTCCTTTCTAAAGTTATTGTGCCCGTTCTCCAGACTAACTTAAAACATGTTTAAATGCCACAGAACATCTTTAAAAGAAACAAAGCAATTCTTTCTCAAATCTTTTAAAATACCTTCCCATTCTTGGTACTTCAGAAGGGTCGATATGAACTCTGACATTTACCTTGAGGGCAGTGTTTCATTCCCAGCTCAACTCATTTCGTGTGTACTCTATCAAAGCCCTGATTTGATATAATGAACTCTGCAGTTTTTATACACCCTGGAGAAAGGCATTATTTTGCTCCTCTGAAATAGTCAAGGGAAGAACAGGGTGGTCTTGTGATCTGTTTGAAGGTAAAGTACCACAGGGTTTCACAGTTTCTCTAAAAGCAACTTGAGGGACAGACAAGGAAACAAGCTGTTAGAAACCCAGCACAGAGTTTGTTATGTGCTTGCTGTCTGGGGAGGACTTGCTGCTTTAAGATTCCTACCCTAGAAGAATCTCTAAGACCTTAAATGACCCCATCTCCAGGTTTCCTTGGAAAAATAAATTGATTTTAGACTAAATCTCTGAAATCTTTCCCTAGAGCAGAGTGAGTACCTTGGATTTGGCTTTTAACTATTCCTCGTGAGAGGTATATCTACATGTATTGGTGTACTTATCCATCTCTTCACTAATCTTTGTGCTCCTTAAGCTTTTATTTTGTAGAGGGAAAGAGCTATCTTGTTTAGTAGTAAAGTTAATGTTTTTGTGTGTGGGGCGGTGGGGGCTACCGGGGATTGAACTCAAGGGCACTCCACCCTGAGCCACATCCAAACACTATTTTGTATTTTATTTAGATACAGGGTCTCGCTGAGTTGCTTAGCGCCTCGCTTTTGGTGAGGCTGGCTTTGAACCCACGATTCACCTGCCTCAGCCTCCCAAGCCACTAGGATTACAGGTGTGCACCACTGCACCCTGTATAATATAAAAACATAGTATGTTTCAAATGTCTCACCATCACATTCTTTCCTGCTATCCCTTGTATGCTTTCCTGTGTTTCTTTATGCAGAGACAAGCAAATATATGTATTCTCATTTTCTTAAAGATAAGGTAACTATGCATACATTATCCATCACCTTGTTTTCTTTTTAGTTAGTGCATTCGAAATCTTTTTGTATCAATACATAGAAAGCTTCCTTATTCTTTTCACAACTATATTCCATTCTATTCAATGTATTATAATTTATTTTCTCAGACCCCACCAAAAGAAATGAGTTGTGTCCATTCTTTTCTTATTGTAAACAAGACCACAATGATTTTGTTCATCTGCAGGTATATCTATAGAATATTCCTAGACGTGGAATTGTTGGGTCCAAGAGGAAATGCATTTACGATCTCAAGTTTTGAATCTATCTGTATCCAGAACCTAGCATGCGTGTAACATGCAGTGTGTACTTGGTAAATAATTTACTGAATGAAGAAATGATTGAGAGGCACTTTTTCTAGGTTTCTGCCTGTTTACCTTGTTGGAATGAAAAACCCATTTTAAAGCTGTAATGAATTCTGTAAGATAATC